CTGGCACTGCCTGGCTGCCCCACGCCTGCCCCTCTCTTTGCAGTATGCCGACCTCCTGGATGTCTTGGATGTGCTGTGCCCTTCCGGGCCCATCCAGAGCCAGTTCCCCCTCACCTTTGAGGCCATAAAGCAGGTGAGGGGCTGGGTGCAGTGGGCGACACTGGGGGGAGATGCTCCTAGGCTTGTCTGCCCTGCCCTGGCTCTGGGGTGGAGGAGCAGAGCTTGTCTCCAGCCCCGTTTCCCTTTCTGTGCTGCTCCGCTGTGTCCTGCAGGCCCATGGCTTTGTGGTGTACCGCACACAGCTGCCCCGGGACGTCCTGGACCCAGCCACGCTGGGGGCTCCTCCCCACAGTGTCTGCTGCAGCAGGTGAGGCTGCGGGAGCACGCCTGTCCCTGGCCCAGCGCTCAGGAGGGCTCTGGGACCAGCTGGCAGCGGGGCTGTGCCATGCCAGGCTCTTGGGGACAGCCAGGGTGCTAAGAGCCACACTGAGCCCTTGTGGGGTACCCCTCTGGCCCATATTTGCCCCCTTTGGGGGCAGAGAACAGCCCTGGGCCAGCTGTGGGGGGGCAGGCAGCAGGATGCTACGCTGGCAGCATTCGGGGCGGGGGGATCCAGGCACGGGGCAGCAGTGCTGACCCCGGGGCCGCATTTTTTGGACGCTGGAGCGGGATGGGCAGACAACGCTGCACGTGGCAGGCAGGGCAGGGGACACCTTGGACGTGCTCCTGGAGAACATGGGCAGGATCAGCTTTGGGGCCAACATCAGTGACTTCAAGGTGAGGAGAGAGGGCCCTGGGGCTCCAGAAGGGATGGCCTGGCCAAACACCCCCTCTCCTGCCACCCGTCACAGACCCCAGCCGTGGTGGGGCCACCCCCAGACCTGCTCCCTGGTTAATTGCATGCCATCCCCTGGCAAACCTGCCAGGACCAGGACAAGGCTGTGAGATCGGCACCCCTCTCCCCCACTTATGCTGTCACGGCAGCACAGCCCCTCGGAGTGGATCCCATCCCACCTTCACTGCTGTGAGGGGGACGTGCTCTGGGGAAGCCAAGCATCCTCCTGCCTGTGGCAGACCCTGCTGCCTCATTTTCCCTCCTGCTCCTCTCAGGGCTTGCTGGGGAACCTCTCCTTGGACTCCAGCCCTCTCAGCAACTGGCTGATCTACCCCCTGGCCATAGACGCTGCCATCCAGCAGGGCTGGCCCCACGCTGCCCCACCAAAATCAAGCAGCAGGGGCAGAGCAGGGCCAGCCTTCTACACTGGGACCTTTGAGACCCCTGGCATCGCCTGGTACACCTTTGTGAAGTTCCCAGGTTGGAGCAAGGTAAGGCTC